TCAAATTTGAAAACAATAAGGAATGCAACCCAAAGAAACCATTGTGTAATGCCCGCATGAGTCATGATCTGCTATATGCCACAAGAAATATGAATGCAAGCATATGTAGTAAAATTCAACTATACAAGTAACCACATCGGTGAAATGTACAAAATAGTCTAAATATAAATCAGTCAAGAGACGTTAAGTTATCAGACTTGCCAGATGACGTGGATACTTTAAAACCTAATCATTTACTTTTAGGAGGAGCACAGAATGAATTTACTCATTTTCAGGCCATTTTTCAATTATGGGGTACAACTAAACTACCGCAAGTAGATTAATGAAACTTTATAGGGTAACAGATACGACTACATGTATATCTGATTATAAATTTAAACCCAATCGGATATTAACTTTGGCCTCTTGAGCGTCCACAAGATTTTTCAAAGTGATCAAGGTCCATAACTCTGGCAGTAATTATCGGAAATTGCTGAAAATCAAAAGGCTTCTTCGTCTCATGACCTTAAACACTGTGTATAAATTTAAAGTAAATCGGATATTAACTTAAGCCTCTAGAGCGTGTCCACAAGCTAAAAACATGATTTTTCGTACAATCAGGGGCCATAATCCATGAGGTTATGGTCCGATACATGCTAATATCGAAAGGAACCAAGATCTTTGGGAGACAGACCTATATTTTAAGTTTCGTCAAATTCGGATAAAAATTGTGACCTGTAGAGTGTCCACAAACAAATTGTGGACGGATGGACAGACGGACGGGGGCGACGACAATATACGACCACATTTCAATGTGGGCGTATAAAAAAAATGACAACTTGGTGATTTTGAACATTTCACATTATCACAGAAAGTTTGCAATAGCTTTAAACTCTAAGTCACACCCACTCTCCTGGTAAACCCTAAGACATCTAAATCCTAATGAGGTTTATCTGAACTACAGTATAAATGAATATATATAGGACTGGTTCATGTTGAAAAATAGAAAAAAGTTTTTGAACCAGCGTCTGCCAAGCAGGATACGCCCACATTTTCGAGAGGTGGATAGAGAACAAGCTAAAAAGAAAGCGATTTTTCGTACAATCAAGGGCCATAATTCAGGAAGTTACGGTCCGTCCGATATGCGCAAATATCGAAAGGAAACCGAGATCTTTGGGTTATAAACTTACATTTCAAGTTTCAACAAAATCGGATAAAAATTATGACCTCTATAGGGTCCACAACCTTGATATACCATATTTTTATGCTATTTGAGAACGAACAGCGGCCATTTTGTTTGTCAATTTTGGGCCGATTTTCACGAAATTCGAACTTAGCCGTCCTTAGGATGTAACGGTGATATAATAATACGTTTTTTTAAATCGGATAAAAATTATGACCTCTATCGGGTCCACAAGCTAAAAACGCGATTTTTCGTACAATCAGGGGCCATAATTCAGGAAGTTACGGTCCGATATGCGCGAATATCAAAAGGAACCGAGATCTTGGGGTTTTAAACTTACATTTTTAAGTTTCAACAAAATCGGATTAAAATTGTGACCTCTATTGGGTCCACAACCTTGATATACCATATTTTTACACTATTTGAGAACGAAGGGCAGGCAATTTTGTCTGTCAGTTTTGGGTTGATTTTCACGAAATTCGAACTCAGCCATCCTTAGGGTGTAACGGTGATATAATAATACGTTTTTTTAAATCGGATAAAAATTATGACCTCTATAGGGTCCACAAGCTAAAAACGTGATTTTTCGTACAATCAGGGGCAATAATTCAGGAAGTTACGGTCCGATATGCGCGAATATCGAAAGGAACTGAGATCTTTGGGTTATCAACTTTTATTTCAAGTTTCAACAAAATCGGATAGAAATTGTGACCTCTATAGTATACAAACAGGGGCCATAATCCATGAAGTTTCAATCCGATACATGCCAATATCGAAAGGAACCGAGATCTTTTGGAGATAAACCTATATTTCAAGTTTCGTCAAAATCGGATAAGAATTGTGACCTGTAGAGTGTCCACAAACAAATTGTGGACGGACAGGGGCGACGACAATATACGTCCACATGAAAATGTGGGCGTATAAAAAGAACTTGGTGGATTAAATTCCAGTGCCATTGATTCATTCTATATGTTAACATTAAATTTACGTATCTTATATGATAGGTTGGAAATAAATATTAATTTAAGTCTTGATTTAAACAGTGACTTGACAAAATAATTTAGAGATATTATTATGTGTATCGGAAAAGAAATTGCATTACATGTACATGTATGTCCCTTTTCTTTGCAGAAACTTTCACAACTCTCATTCACATTGACAGATAATACAACATTTTCAAATTCACTCTAAAATATCATTTTCCAGTCAAAGTTTATAATCTATAATAATGGAAGACAAGAAAGGCTGACAGTTAACCATGCTTTTGCCTATATCATAATGTGTATGTTTATTTAGAGCTTATACTTATAGGCAATGATTAGATCAGTCAGTATCAATATAAATTATCCAAGAATGTTTATTGTTAAGTCTAGTCCATTTGACGGCACTGCCAATCAACTAGATTACGCAGTAATGGAAAAATGAAAAGTGTTTTAGAGCACCTGACACATACAATGTAAATGGTCAAATGTTGTCTTTAGAAAGTGATAATAACTCAGATGGTAATTCTAGGCTTCTTAATCTCTAGCTACGAGAACGTGGCTAAAAACGTTGAGATATACCTATGTGCTTGTTTTTAGCTACTATTGGGTGCCTTTACATGTAGTTCCAAGTGGCCAACTCAGTTTCTTTATTAATCAGGTAATTTGTTACTATTACATGTATGACTAATTAAACTTACAGAGGCCAACATAGTGGCACAACTATAGCCTAACTCCAAATATACGCGTTTAAGTTTAAATTAATGAAGCGTTGTTTTTATCTGACATACATCCATCTCCCATTTAAAAATAGCGTTCTTAGTAACAGCTTAACGCCTCGATTTTAAATACAATGATTTATACTCGTTTCAGGTACGATTATATGCTTAAAGATGGGTTCCCAGAAAAGTATTTATCGGGTGGTTATTTCCAATAAAAATATCTCAATTTTGGTATATATGGAAAGTAGAGATATCCATACCAATCTTACTAAAAAAATACTGGATTCCCCTAATCAACAGCCCGACGATTAGGGACTTCTGCACGCATGATGTCAAAGGTCACAAGCGAACATTGAGCGCTTGATGTACATGTACAAGTTGATAATAAATATTTGTAATAAATAGTAAGTGATTAAAGACAACATCATCTTATGTATGCAATGAATTCTCCTCTGACACCCAAGACGTGACGTAAACATGACCTGGTTTGATCGAATTTTAATAGAGGAGAATTCATTGTATACATAAGACGATGTTGTCTTTAATCGTTTACTAATTACAAATATCGAATCATAATTAAATTCTCGGATTATCCACTACCCGCGTCATTTTCCGTCATTTTTATCTGAGAAAGTGTTGTACGTCTAACTCTTCATAAAGTTTATCAACTTGTACATCAGGCGCTCATTGTTCGCGTGTGACCTTTGACATCAGGCGTGCAGAAATTCCTAATCGTTGGGCTGTCGATTAGGAAATGAAATGAAATGAAATGGGGTTTAACGTCCTACTCCTATACTGGGCTAATGAAGACGGGCATACGCCATACAGTGTGCTATGAGGGAAATTTTGCCCGGACAGCGGCACTATCGCCTACTCTTATATCGAATTCCAACTGCCAGGGGATCTTTTACGTGCATTCCAATATATACACGGGACCTCGATTTTTCGTATCATCCGAAGGACTAGACAGCTGTCCTTGTCGGGCCCTCCGTTCTGCACCACTGACAAGGGGAAACCACGTCGGAAAATCCAGATGAACTTTCTCGGCCAATGCAGGGATCGAACACCCGACCTCCAGGCTAGCGAGCCAGCGTCTTAACCAACTAGCCACCGTGGCCCCCTGACGATTAGGGGAACCCTTACGTTTTTGTCATGTATACGCTCCACAAGTGTTTTTCGGGGAATCCAGTATTTTTCTAGTAAGATTGGATATCTCTACTTTCCATATATACCGGTACCAAAATTGCCATACTTTTATTGGAAATAACTACCCGATAAATACTTTTCTGGGAACCCATCTTTAAATGAAATTCAGCACTGTGTAACCAGAATAAATAAAACGAAATTTGTGGATAAAATGTACATATAGGCTACCTTTTTCGTCGGTAATAATGAGCCTCTACTAACCGGAAACGAGTTTTTCGGTTTGTTTATCCATAGATGGTTATCCCACACGAATCGATGCAACTTGTTTTTGAATGTTAGTACGATGTACGCATAAACTAAAAATACGGTAGGCAAGTTGGGTCTGATTAGTAGCCAAAACTAGACCCTGTGACTAGTAGTCTAAAACAATCTCTGTAATCAATTCAAATTTTGGACACTAAATACAGTTAGGCTGAATGTTAATTATTTGGAAAATTGTTTTAATGGCATTTAGTAATTGTAGTCCATGGAATTGTGACCTGCATGTATTTTTTGACGTTTAAAAAATAAAAAAACACATGCGAAAAAACACCAATACATTAGTTATATTATTAACAAAGATATGTTCTAACTTCTCGGCTTATCTATATTAGTAAAGTGTTGGCCTATAATTTTATCTTGAGTCTGTGGACTTGGGATGGGTAGATTTTAGATTAGACAAGGAAAGGTTATTATGTCTACCCGTTCCTATATCTTGAATCTATACTTCAACTTGCCTTCTCTTGACCTGCGTTGCTTGGGGTTTTTGGAATAGGCAGACGAACCCGCCATGTGTCGATCCTGAATTCTGCTATAGAATCTAGACGCCTTATTTACTTCAAGCTTCTGCTACAACATCGGCCTCGGGAAATAAAAGTGTCAAACTATAAAGTTTTATCAACTTTTTAATACCACCAAATATAATGGCTGTACTAAATACTTTTTTCTTACCTGTATATGTTTCACCTGGTCTATATTTATGCTGTGTTGGTGTTCCAGAAATTATAATCCTAAAGCCATTATCTCCAGGGGTTTGTTCTCTTGTTGTGTGTATAGGTTTACGTTGGCACATTGCGCGAGCATAGGATACCGCTGCTTGTGACATACCTAACAGAAAACACAAGCAGACAACGAAACAAAACCTTTCCTTCGGCTCCATCTTATAACTATAGTATAACAGATTTACTTTTAAAAAAAGAATCACATCGACAAACTAGTTCCACTCCTGCTTATTCTTGATATAAATAAATCCGTTGTAAAATGATAATCCTGTATTGCTTGTTTGAACTCTCGCCACTAGACTAGTGACTAGGGCATTCTTATACAACTTTTCGAGCTGAACTCTATACACGTACCAACTAACAGTTTTAGTAAATGAAGCCCCCTTCGCGAAACTAGACCAAACATTTCATTGGCCGAAATCACCACCTGTAACTCCGCCTATTAGGCGTCACAACACTGTATGCAATGTTTTGGTTGTGATCAAATGAAGCCGAAATATACAGGAAAGGAACGAAATCGACTGTGTAAAATCATAGTCAACCTTTATTAAATGAAGTCATTTAATTGATAGACGGAAATTGAATTAACTACACACACCTGATAATGCATTTTTGATCGTCCCTCGAACATAATTAGGTCATCTGCTTTTTTTTATATTCGACATAGCAGGCCCGCTTTATTTAGAGAAAATTGTGACAGCGTTCAAAACGGATTGGACAAAACTTTCTAAAAGGATACAAACATCATCTTCATGTAGTTTATAGACTTGTATAAAAGTAAATATTGTCAGATTTAGTGAGCATCGATTTACAGAAGTTGGTCAAGTTTTATCTGGGGTATACCAGCAACTGTCGTGTCGTCTGGGCGTTTAATAGCTGAGACAGAAGAACGATAAGAGCTGCTTTTTTGGGGTGGGGTGGGGGGGTCATTTTTTTTTTTAAAATGGCAAAACTATTGATAACTGAAATGTTGAACAAGCGGCGTATTTTTAAAAAATTCAGTTCAATTGAATGCACATTAAGGATCTCAACAAACCATCTTTTTTTATTCACCAATGAACCTGATCCAATCACAAACAAGTACCAAGATACGAAATAAACTTAACCGAACAATATTAGATAGGTCCATGGTTACGTTTGATTAAATAATAATGGAGATGTTTCAAATTAAAACTGCTTGCATTATGAAATGCGTGCCAGCCATCCTGAATCAGTCAATTTTAAACCAAAATGTTAATACGTATACTTAGCTATAAATTGTACAGTGTGTAGTATAACGGATTTCCTTCTCACTTTTTGCATGCAATACTTTGGGTGCTAATGACCCCTCGCTTATTGTCGGTGATTATATATAGTAGGAACGTTTTTGTCAAAAATTTAATTATCCAGTTTTTTTTTTTATGAAATCAATTTAAATTAAAATATCAAAAACATACATTTCCTTGTCGATCAGTTTATGCTATACTTTGGGCGATTTTCCGGCGTGGTTTACCCCCTTGTCAGTCATGCATAGGGTCTGGCAAGGATAGTGTCTATAATATAGTCTTTCGGAAGGTATAAAAAAAACAACCCGAGGTCCCGTGTACACATTGGCGAGCTCTTGAATGAACCTTTGAGATTTGTAATTCTAAATTAGAGTGAGCCGTAGCAACGCCACCCGGGCAAAATTTCCCTTACAGCACATTGTATGGCATAATGTTCGTCTTCATTAGGTCTACCCCAGTCGGTGCAGAAAAATATTATGTTTAAAAACCCATTTAATTTCATTTCAATTCCCGCACCCTTGGGCATGTTTTGTAAGGCAGATGGATTGTCATTGTCTGTGTTACTGGTAATCAAAAACAAAATAGTGGGTAGACTAATCACCGGAAATCACTTATAAACACCGGAATTCACATACCACACCGGAATTCACTTTGAAGACATCAGAATTCGCCCGCAAGATCTTCCTATTTACTTATATTTTACATTAATATTAATATTGAATTACTTAAAGGGACAATAACACTCTTGCTGGCTTGAAAGCTCCAGAAAATAAATAATATCTCTATCTAAGTACTGTAATATACTTGTGTTTTATGTCAAATGTGTCTGTGTGAAGGACTACAAAATGAGTACAACAGTAACAGCAAGGTTTATTCAGTCAGGCGAGCACATGGCATGTTTTACAATACAGTTGTCACACTGATCCGCAGTGAATATTCGCTTGGCCGCTACAATCACTGATAAGGATGACATCGATGCGACTTAATGACTACAAAATATTAACTTTTTTCTTTCGACAAACTAAATTCTGAAACATTTTTTTTTAGTATTAGAAAAATAAATAAAGGTGTTTGAAGTATATCTTGATAAAAAATATTCCATAATTAGCGTAAATAGGTACAGAAAATAGTATGCGGAGGCGTAAAATGGGTAAAACGATATAATTCTGCCCGTACCAGTTCATATTACTACGTTCGATGTAAACAACGCACGTGTGACCATCAATTTGACGTTTTTTTTCTGTTTGTTTACTCTGAATTCTTTCAGAAGTACATTTTTTACCGTCTAATCTGATTGACCTGCTCCTGTTTGTTTTAAAACAACAAAAGCAAGCCACAGAAGTAATCTTTTTTGGCGTTATCGATGCCATCTTGCTTTGTTGGTAAACATTGTAATGTGACGTCACCCTTAGAACTACAGCGGTCTGACCTTTTAAAGGTCAGTCATCTTGGACAGAGATAAAAGACGGATGTCGCATTAGGTCTGTAAAATAGATTGTACAGTTGTATCATGGACAATCCCAACTACATAAGGGAAGTAACTCTGGTCTAACTATTAAAGGGAACTAACTATAAATGATTAGTCTTATAGGATTCAGACAACTGAATATTAATGTATAATATCCTTACACCTCCCTTTCTTCAAAAGAAATGAAACTAACTTAAAATAAATACATATAAAAAGTTAACATCTGAATTTTAAAGCAATATTTAAATATTTAAAGCAATTAAACAAAATCAGATTAATCTTACAAACATTAATTATGTTCTAATTTCCAATCTTTCATAAGACATCACATGAGATGATTATGACAAAATAAATTAACCATCATTATCAGGTTTCTACAAATCTTTTTGGACAACGGATATTTCTTTTAGGTCTATCATATTGTCTATTTTGATAATTAGCATTCGAATTTACATCATCATCATCCTTTTCAACGGAATTATGAACAGAATTTGGAACAAGCAATAATTGGCGACGATTTCTTCTACAAATATTACCATTTTCTAATTTACATTGATAAGATCTAGGAGCAACTTGTTTAATAACAATAGCTTTATCAGCCCAAATACCATCCTTACTTACTCTAACAACATTACCTGGACATAGTGATTCTAATTGTTTTGTTGAATGTTTATCGTGATACAATTTCTGACTTTCTCTCATTTCTTGTCTCTTATTTACAACATAATCTGAATTAGGTACATTTAATAAATCTGTTTTCATTGGCAAATTAGTGCGTAATTTTCTGGACATTAATAATTCAGACGGTGATAATCCAATATTTTCTAAAGGAGTACTGCGGTATGCTAACAAACCCATTTCAATATCTTCATTGTTCTCAAGACATTTCTTATAAATTGACTTAATTGTTTGTACAGTTTTCTCTGCTAAACCATTAGAATTTGGAAATTTAGGACTTGATGTGACATGTAAAAAATCATAATCCTTTGCAAATTTTCCAAACTCTGCACTATTATAACATGGACCATTATCACTAAATAATTGTAAGGGTAAACCATGCCTAGCAAAAACACTTTTCATAGCACTTATAACACATTTAGTAGTCTGACTGGATAATTGAATTACTTCTGGAAAATTTGAATATGAATCTACAATAACAATATAATCTTTCTTATTTAATTCAAATAAATCAGTGGAAATTTCCTCCCAAGGCCTTTTAGCTAATTCATGACTTTGAAGTGGTTCTTGTGATTGTTGACCCATATGACCTGTATGTATCTCTTTTAGCATAAATGAACGTAATTTAACAGGAATTAAAATACGATTACATTTGAAAATAACCTCATCAATAACTGACAATTCATCTCTATAATTCCAATATGGTACTAAATCATCTCTACAATTTTTTTTACTATCAGGCCAACCTTTCAAAATTACATTTCTTAAGGCACATAAGGTTTCATAATTAGAAATTTCTTTTTGAATTTCTTCAAATTTATAACTAGCTATAGGAAGTGAGTTACAAATACCTAATACAAAATCTTCAACATATTCTTCCTCAACACTAGATATTTGAGTACATTTTACGGGTGCTCTAGACAAAGTATCAGATACAAACATAAATTTACCTGGCACATAAGTTAAATGAAAATCATTTCTTTGTAATCTAAGTCTAAATCGTTGAATTCTAGGGGGACAATCATTAAGACCTTTTGAGAATATGGCAATTAACGGTTTATGATCTGTCTCGACTTCTATAACTTGACCATAAATAAATGAATGAAAACGCTCACATGCGTAAGTGATAGCTAAAGCTTCACGTTCTATTGATGCGTAACGACTTTCAGTTTCCGTCAAAGCTCTAGAACCAAAAGCTACTACAAACCAGCCATTATCATGGTTTTTTTTGCAAAACACATCAGTCGAAATTTTTATAGGTTTCAAAGGGTCATAAAATTTAAGAATAGGTTCACTAGACACAAGTGCTTTAAGGTCTTCAAAACATTTTTCATGATTTGGAGTCCAATTCCAAATATTATTTTATCTAACAAAGATCTAAGAACAGCAGTTTTATCTGACAAATCAGGCAAAAATCTAGCAAGGTATGTTATCATTCCTAAGAAACGTTGAATATCTTGTTTACACGTAGGTCTCTCCATATCATTTATCGCGTCAACCTTTCTTTGATCAGGTTTCAGTCCATCTTTAGAAATAACCTCACCTAAGAAAACTAATCCAGGAACACCTATTTCACATTTGTCTTTATTCAATTTAAGACCTACTTCTCGCGCTTTATCTAACACCAATCTTAAACAAGAATCATGTTCAGTTTCATTGGAACCCCAAATTATGATATCATCCATAGAAGTGTCAACTCCTGGTAAGTGTTCAAATAATTGATGTATGGTTCTGTGATATATTTCTGGCGCACTACAAATTCCAAAAGGTAGTCTCAGGAACCGATATCTTCCATACGGCGTGTTAAAGGTACATAAGTAAGAACTACTTTCATTCAGTTTTAGTTGCCAAAATCCATTTGAAGCATCTAATTTACTAAATATAACTGCATTTGCGAATTTAGACGTAATCTCTTCTCTTGTGGGTAGTTTATAATGTTCTCGACAAATCTCTTTATTCAGATTTCTCGGATCAAGGCAT